CATAAGGGGATCACACTGGGGCTTGCTGGTCACCAATCTAGATTCAGGTTCAGTGAGAGACACTGTATCAAGGAATAAAATAGAGACTGATAGATCAGGACACCCAATGTCCTCCTCTGGCACACAATTGTGCACATATCACACACACACACACACACACACACACACACACACACACACCACAGGACAAACACACACAAACCCCAAACAAACAACTCCCAAACAGAAACAGGGATTTTCTGTGCATAAGTTGTACTAGCTTTAGGAAAAACTGGATCTAGGTAGAAAATGTCATCAGTTCCTTCCCTTTCTCCCTCTTCTCTGTGGTTTTTTGTTCATGTATGTATGTATGTATGATCTATCTGGCTAGTCCTGTTTTTTTAATGTTTTATTTTATGTGTATGGATGTTTCACCTGCATGTATGTAAGTGTACTATGTGAGTGCAATGCCAGAAGAGGATGTTGGAGCCCCTGGAACTGTTATTTACAGCTATTAGCCACCATGTGGTGTTGGGAACTGAACCCAGATCCTGTGCAAGAACAGCCAGTGCTCTTAGTCTATGAGACATAATTCCAGCCCCGTAAAATAGCATTACTTTAACTATAGCAGACAAGAAGCAGGGAGCAGATGGTTTCCCCATCTGAGCCCTGGGTCCAGATGATTGAATTTCTCTGTTGATCTGGCACAGATAGGGGAGGAGGGGAAGGTACTTGGGGCTCATATCTTGGCTACTCTAAAGAGTTGGGATGAAGCCACATTGAGAGACACACATCCTAGTTTTCCATAGCTATCCAAATTTCTCTCTTCCCAAACTGCATCCATTCTTTTCTTTTTTGAGACAGGGTCTCCTTGTAGCCCCAGCTAGCCTGGAACTCACTATGCAAATCAGGCTGGCCTCCATCTCACAGAGATCTGCCTGCCTCTGCCTCTGCCAAGTGCTGGGATTAGAAGTGTGTGCCACCACATTCACCATTGTTCTCTTCTTAAGTTCCTCAAGGTCTAACAGTTTTCCACTCTCCAGAGTCCCTTTGTTCTCCATCCCAGCATTCTCCAGCTCCTGTAGTACCTCTGGGTTCCACACAGGCTTTCTTAGGGGTGTGGTGCCTGTCTCCCCTGAGGGGTAAGGATTTTTGCAGGGTCTTGCTTGTCTACTGACTGCTGCTACTTAGCCCTCAGCAGTACTGACCAAAAGCTTCAGGTTGATGACTCTGCTAGGTTGACTCTCAGCTTTCTGTGTCCCTCCAGCCCAGAATCCTCTCCCCTCCCCACTGTCCCTGCTCCTGATATCAGTCACTAGGGAAGTCAAAGAGCTTCTCACGCAAAGGTGTGTAAACTTTGACCCAGGATTGGGTGTTCAGCTCTGGTTCAAGGTCCTTGAACGTCCTGCTTGTCAACCTCCTTCTCTGCTTAGGAATTAATAAGGGCCACATTCCTGCCACTGTCGCTGTTAGCCCAGACAAGGCTTGGTGATAAGTGAAAGCCCCCCACCCCCAACCCCCTGTAACCTCAGTGCACCTGACTCCTATCCCAGGGTCTGGGGAGATGAAGGCCCTGGCTTAGAGCCAAAACCTGTCCCCCGAGGCTTCCCTTAGCAGAAACAGCCATGACCTGGAAGCAAGATACCAGAGTTCTAGGCCCGGCTTTCATCTGCTGTGTGTCACTGGGCCTTTTCTTTTCTGGCATCAGTCTCTCCAACTGAGAAGTGGGATATAAACTGGTTTTGTTAGCTAATAAACTCTTTGAAACCAAGAGCCCTTTAGAGAACAAGCCAAACAGTGGGGCTTCCTGAGCTTCTTTCTGATTAAGAACCTCTGCCCTAGATGGTCTTCCAGCCACGGTGAGCAGGCTGCCAAGACTGTCTGGAGGGAGGGCATTGCTGGAGATCTGGAAAGTGAATGGAGAGGGTGGCTACAGAGCAGGCTAGGGGATTTGGAAGTGTCTTGCTCCCTGAATCCTTGCAACGATTGATTTTCACATAGGTTCTTGCTCCAAAGTACGTGCTATGAAATTCCTCAGGCTGAGTCAGAGATGCAGCAAGTGGCTGCAAAGACACCGGGAAAGCCAAGCTTCACCTCCTTGTTCCTGCCTGCTGCCCATTTTTCCTCTTTTTTTCTCTCCATTTCTCCTTTCCTTTTTCTTTTTTGCCAGATTTGCTATGTTCCCCTGGCTGGTCTACTGTTACACTTTATATAAGTCAGGCTATACTTGAACTCATGGCAATCCTCCTGCTTCAGCCTTCCAACTAGGCATGCACCATCATGCCCAGCACTTGCTGCCTATTTTCTACCATTACACATGGAGCTCAACATCACTGTTGCTATGCACCCCATGCGTAATGCAGCTATGTCAAACATTTATGCTTTACAAGGACTTGCTTATCTGATTTAATTTTCCACAGGCAGGTTTTTTGTGTTAGGGTACAGAGGAAGAAGAGGCAGATTGGATGAGTAAGGGTCAGATGTCCTGAGAATCACTATGGTGAAGAGCTGGAAGGGACACCAGGAAGAATCTACCCTGCTGTGGAGAGCCTCTAGGAGGGGATGAAGACGGAGAAGTGATGTTTTATTTGAGACTCAGCCAATTGGAACCATTAGAAGCCGAGGTAGGTGGGCCTGCTGGATCCTGATAGAGGTTCTGGTCTCCACCTTCAGATACTCAAGAAGTTTTAAGCAAAGGTGGTGACAGAAAGATTTAGGTCATATGTGGTGGCACATGGCTTTAATCACAGCACAGGCTGTCTGTGAGATTGAGGCCAGCCTGGTCTACATAGCAAGTTCCCGGCCACCTGGAGCTGCAGGGAGACCCTGTCTTGGAAAAAAACAAAAAGGTTTTATACATTCTGGATGCCACAGGGGAGAGAAGGAATTGGAAGGGTCAAAGGCAAAGGGGAGCAGTTCTCTAAGGAGTAGTGATGGGAGCCTGGATGATGCTGTGGCAGTGGAGCTGGACAGATGTAAAAAACAGCCAAAAGTACCCATGCCCTTCAGTCTGTTTTCAGCACAGCAGCCTGAGTGATCTTGCTCAGCTCAGACTACAGCCACATCTATGCTACACAGAGTCAATCTTTCTCAGTGGGGCTCTTCTACATAGGGGCAAATGCCAGGAGAATCCCCCAGTCCCACAGCCCCTGCACATATCCAGCTCCTCTGGTATTCTTCCTCCCTCAAGAACCACTGTGCTGGGCCTTTGAACTTGCTGTGCCCTCTGTAAGGTGCACTTCAGTCAGACACCCGAATACCTGAGTTCTCATTACATCCGGCTACCTCTGTGTTGTCTCAGAGAGCCCTTCTCTGCCCACCCCATTTGCAGTTGTAATCCATCCTCTTCCAGTTCCTACTCCTTTTCTGCCAATCTTTCTTTTTTCTCTAGCACTTTTGACACTGCCACTCTGCATTTTGTTGTGTATCCTGTCTCCCCCTCCCCCATCAAGGTGTGAGCTACATCAAAGGAACAGCTGCTAGTTTTATTCACTTCTTCATTTATCACCAGCGTTGGGCTCATAATAAGCGCTTAGCAAATACTTGTGCAATGCGTGAGGGTGGGATCCCTGACTGCGGTGGGAGGTGAGGAGATAGATGAGGTTGTTTTCCGGCCTTGGGCATGGGACAGAGGGCAGTGTTATTTCTGGGCTTGGGACCTCACAGGGAAAAGTGGGCGATGATGTTAATTAGGACAGGCTGAGCTAGACACACAAATTTAGCTTTCTCCTCAGATATTTTACTTTGGGAGCACTCGCGTCAAGGGTGGAGACCGCGTGCAAAGCAGCCAGCCAGGCGTGCCGGGTGGTACTGCGTGTCCTGCCATCAAAATGTGGTCACAACGCTGGCAGGCCTTGGCTCACAGGCAGGAGCGGAGCTCCGCACGCAAACCCGGCCTTTTGCACCATCTAATAGCGCCCTCGCACTGCTTAAACAGCTTCCGCACAGCTCCGCCCCCGGCTCCCTTCCCCCAGCTAGCGTGACAGCTCTGGGACCCGCGCCCGGCTCGAAGTTGGATGGTAGGGTGGCCGCGCGGGCCTCCAGGCTCTTCTCACGCAAGCCCTGGGCACCACGCCGCCAGGCAGGTAGGGCGGGGAGCCGCCGCCCGACCTCTGTCCCCAGGAGGATGGAGCAGGCGCACGCATGCATGCCCGCCCCGGGAGCCCGAGTGCCAGGTGCCTCCTCCGTGGCCCCGGGCCCGCTCCTTCCACCTCGCGTGGATCCTCCCTCCACCCTTTCCTCCACCACCCGCAGCTACATCCTCAGTCACCCACCACCCGATTTCTTGCTCGCACCAAGTGAAAACGCTAGCAGCCCTGGGAGCTCAGACCCGCGACAGCGCTGTCCCAGGCTGACAGCTTGCTTGAAGGTGACCCCAGCGCAGCTCTGCAAACCAGCGCTCAGTTGGGAGATCTGCATGTCCCCCATCCATTCCCGCCCCTGGACCAGGCAGCTCGAACTTCGGTCGGTCTCGGGGCTCTGGGGCACAGAATCAGCGGAATGGCGCCACTCGCCTTCCGGTCCGTGACCTCGGAGCTGGGGTCGTTGCGCTTCTCACGCGAGCCTGGACTCAGCAACCCGGGAAAGGAGGTCACCACTCAGCAACCCTGCCTTTGCCTTCCTGGCACCCATTGGCTTGTTGTTGTGGGGGAAGCTCTTACAAACCCAGTGTTCTGGGGGCCCAAAAATAATGGAGAGGGATCCTCGTGGCCCGAGATGGAGCCCCAACACCCTCTCTTCAGGCTGTCCCAGTACTTTTTCCTCAAAGCCCTCCCTCAGCAGGGTTCTGGACTGTGCGCGGGGTGCATGGAAGTGGGGGTCTCAGGTGACCCCAGTCTTCACTTTTTTACATGCCAGCACTTTTATCATGTATCCCCAAAGTGGGTTCTTGCCTATCTCACTCCCTTCCTGCCTAGAGCAACCCTCCCCCCAGCTGTCCCTCCCTTTATACCACCACTGGGCTCCAGGGAAGGAGGTGTGGCCATAGGCACAGTCTCCTATAAAGGTGGTGGTGCTTTCACCCTCATCCCGAAGGTGACAGTCTTTGGAGCCTTCCCTCATCCTCTTTGGGTCCCTGGCCAGGGAGACCACTCTTGAGCTCAGCACCTCATCACAACCAAAGGTGAGTGCTGGGGATTCCTGGCTTACCTCTTCCTTCCCCTCAAAAGGAAATTTTTGGTGCCTCTAGATCTTCCTGGGTAGCCACTGGCTTAGCCCCTCCAAAATTGGAGAAAATAAAAAGTGACCAGGCAGTTTAGCTCCTTAGGAGAGAAACTGAGGCCAGAGAAATAATAGGACTTGCCAAAGGTCCAGTAGCTAGTACCAGATGTCTAGATAGAGATGAGATGCCACTCCACTTTCAGGTCTCCACAACCCAGTCTCCAGCTTCAACTCCCAGGGGCTCACTAACCACCTGGGGCTTCCCAGTTCCTGCATGTGCAGCTCATCCCTTAGACTGTGTAATGGGGAAGAGGGCTCCTCCCTGGTGGGTAGGGTGAATAGAGGGGATGAGTTGGGTTTTCCTATCTAAAAACTACCCCTGGCAGCCTCTACCTTCCCATAGGGTAATATATCAGAGCTGACAGTTCCAGGCTTGGGCTAGAGAGGCTGATCTGAGCAGGGGCCCTTGGTGCTATCCAGGGACTTCTCTATCTGGTTGACTATCTCCTCCATCCTTATTGGGAGACCATCAGCTTGACATATTGCCAGTTAAAGGGAGAAAGAAACACCACATTTCCCTTGTCCCTTTCATCTTACAAAGGCTAAAATTTCTTAGGAACACCAATTTTCTAGAAAGGAAAACTTTTCATGGCACTTTAAGGACTGGCAGAATCCCCAGTTCACTCAGAATTGAGGTGTTAATGTGCTTTGGGATTTGCTCCACCAGGAAGCTGCTCTCCCACTCCAAGGCAATCTGTAGTACTTGAGGTAGGAATTATACATCCCCTTGTCTTGTGTGGTTCTCCCTAGATTGTCTCTTCCTGGGATCACACCCTCTAAATTAGTTAATCGTCTCTTTCTGTCTCTGTCTCTCTG